AAATATTGCAATCCAGCAGCAGCCATGAGGCGACTATGCTTGCTGTCTCCTGCACCTCAAAAATAATAAGACCTCCCTGAAAATAAGGCCAGGTGCTTATTTCGGGGTTCAAAAGAAAATAAGATCCTGTCTTATTTTCGGGGAAACACAGTAATACTTTGACATAAGAGCTCTTCCATACTGTACAACTTATGTGTATGTGTTTTCTCTTTTTTTATTCCTAGGGCCTGTGCCTTACCCTGTTGCTACTTGCCATTTTTAAAAAGGCCTTACCAGCTCTTCCAATTTCTATCACATTTGGGCTAGTTTTCTATTTTGCCACGGATAACTTGGTGCAGCCTTTTATGGACGAATTAGCTTTCCATCAATTTTATATCTAGCACCTTTTCAGCTGACCACCTGCGGACATTTTATTGAATTTAGCAAATAAAGGAGGGCGAAACTATCTTCCCCTCATTTCCTAAAACAGCTGCTATGCTGGGCATTACTGGATTCTTCTTTGTAAAAATGGTCTCTTCACCTGTGGGTTTTCTGCCATTTGACTGCAGTCAGTTGCATCTCCTTCAAATAACAGACTGCAGAAAAAATGCCGTTGTCCTCACCAGCAGCACGGATTGCTCAGCCTGGGGTTCCCCCTTGCACCAACCAAGGATGGTCAGGATTCATCCACTGTTAAGCGGTATGATGATAAATCAAGCTGAACTGCCTGAGAAGTGAGGGTGAAGCCATGACAGCTCTTGTTAGCCTGAGGCCACTTTGAGAAGAGCAATTGGGAGGAAAGAATGTGATCTTGTTTAAAGGGAAGGGGGGGGGGGGAAATCAAGCAAATAATGTCTTGCACTTTGTGTTAGGGTTTTTTTGTATCTTTCTTTCCAATTCTAATTCTCATACTTGCAGAATAGCCTATATGCTCCTTGCCAGATCAGCACAGAACACACCCACACTTTCTTCTGCTGAAATTTTTTGGGGGGAATTTGTGGTACAGTAGGCATATCCTGGGATCTTTTGTGTAAAAAACAAAATCTCGTTTCTTATTAAGCTATGTAATCTATTTCTCGATATCTCCCCTTCCTTAAAGTATGCTGAATATCCTTTCAGCTTTTAGGTGAGTCTTATCATTTATACCAACAAAGAGGTAAGAAACTAAAAACTATCAAACAACAGAACATTGCAATGAAATCTTGGTTAATAACAACAAAAACAAAAACTCCTGACTTCATTTTTTTTTTTTTTTGAAACTTTTTTTAATAAATCCTTGGGACCATTTTATTAAAAAAATGTATATATGCATGCAGGTTGCAATATAAAATTAAAAAAG